GGGTCTAAAGTAACAAGTAAAAGGTAAAAGTTTGGTCTTTTTCGGAAAAGAAAAAACTTTTAGGTCTAAAAAGAAAAAAATCAAAATGTAGGGTCTTTTATGGAAATAACCCATTATTTTAAGATGTCGTATAATTCATAAAAAAATAATTCGGTTTTACATTATAGGACAGTTCATCTCACAACCAATCGGTAGAAGGTCACCGCCGATCACTACATGGCAGGCGTCTCCATCGCCGCAGAATGGCAACTTCTCGGCGACAAGTACTACCGAAAACCAGAACTCTACCAATTACGATGGAAAAATATCGATCTTGCTCGAAACAAGGTCGCCTGCGCCCCATTCGGTGGTCCAATTGCCGTCATTCGAGACGAATCCAAGATCGTCCAGCTCTACGCCGAATCCGCCCTTCGTAAACTCCGAATATTCAACTCCTGCGGCCGCCAAATCTCCGAAACTGTCTGGAGAAACCCCGGCGGACGTTTGATCGGATTGTCGTGGACCGAGGAGCAAGTATTAGTCTGTGTGACACAAGATGGCACCGTTTATAGGTATGACATCCACTGTAAGATAATTGAATCAAATGTTAGCATGGGTACGGAGTGTTTCGAACACAGTGTGGTTGAGTGTGTGTTTTGGGGCAATGGGGTTGTGTGTATCAATGAGGCTTTCCAGTTGTTCTGTATTCCTGATTTGAAAAACCCTAAACCCTGTAAGCTCGCTGATACGGGGTTAGAGGAATTCCCCCTTTGTATGGCGGTGATTGAGCCGCAGTATACCATGTCTGGGAATGTGGAGGTTTTGCTCGGAGTTGGAGATCATGTGTTGTTGGTAGAGGAAGATGGAGTTCAAACTGTAGGTGATGGATTAGGAACTCTGCAGAAGATGGTTATCTCACATAATGGCAAGTTAATGGCGTCATTCACTCACGATGGTCAGCTTCTTGTGATGCCCACTGACTTCTCAAGCATCATCTTTGAATACAGTTGTGAGGTTTGTGTTATGACACTCTTGTTGATACAAAAAACCATATTTATCTTGTATTATGTATGGGATGCCATTAACTTAACATCTTGTTATGTACAGTCTACCCTAGCTCCAGAGCAACTTGTTTGGTGTGGAATGGACAGTGTGTTGCTGTATTGGGATGATATGCTTCTGATGGTGGGCCCATATGGAGATCCAGTTCGCTATCTTTATGATGAACCCATTATCCTTATCCCAGAGTGTGATGGAGCTAGGATATTGTCCAATTTAAACATGGAGTTTCTTCAACGGGTCCCAGCTTCTACTGAATCTATCTTCAAGATTGGGAGCACAGAACCAGCAGCTTTATTGTATGATGCTTTGGATCATTTTGACAGGAGGAGTGCAAAGGTAGGGTGTCATTTTGATCTTTGAAATTTGAATTAGACTTTATATTTATTTCTTTCTTTTTAAGTTGTAATGTTGATTTATTCCATTCCAGGCTGATGAAAATTTGAGGCTGATAAAAACATCTTTGCCTGAGGCTGTTGAAGCTTGTGTAGATGCTGCAGGACATGAGTTTGATCCTTCACTACAACAGACACTACTGAGAGCTGCAAGCTATGGGCAAGCGTTTTGTAGGTAAGTTTTTCATCTGTTGGTAGAAGATATATATATATATATATATATATATATATATATATATATATTGTGATAATGGTGGATATGGTGAACAATCATCTATATATTTGATTTGTCCACTTGATGTTTGAAGGCTTGAAATAACTTTATTGAATGCAAGTGAAGTCTTTCATGTAACATATGTTGGTCTAAAACTAGTAATCATCCTTTTGCCATAATGTTAAGCTTTCTTTAAGAAATGAGAGAAGCTGATAATGTTAAGCTTATAAATGGTGGTGGTGATTTTAAGTTTTAAGTTTTTCTAATTTTTGTTAACGATAGTGATATCCAGTTGGCTTTGGCAGCCAATTTCAACGTGAGAGCATTCAGGAGATGAGTAAAACACTGCGTGTTCTAAATGCTGTTAGAAGCCCAGAAACAGGGATTCCACTAAGTATACATCAATACAAGGTCTTTTTTCAACACCTAAACATATTCAATTTCATAATTATTCTTCATTACATTAATGCTTTTAATCTGTTCTTTAGTTGCTTACACCATCAGTTCTGATTGGTCGATTGGTTAATGCCCACCAACATCTCCTGGCACTCAGGATATCAGATTACCTTGGAATGAACCAAGTAAGTTTTATGTATTGTTCTTCACTAATCATTATCATATATCATATATGATATGAGTTGTTCAGTTTTGATTGGTGGATTGATTCTTTTTGAGGTGTTTTTTTTATCCAGGAAGTGGTTATCATGCATTGGGCTTGTTCAAAGCTTACAGTATCATCATCAGTTCCTGATGTTACTCTCCTTGAGATTTTACTTGATAAGGTTGTGCTCAATTAAGTTTTATTATATGATTTATAAATTTGTTACAATTTCAATGATTACTGACCTTTTGGGAATTTTCAGTTAAAATTGTGCAGAAGCATTTCTTATGCTGCAGTTGCTGCTCATGCAGATCAGACTGGCAGGAGGAAATTAGCTGCTATGCTTGTTGAACATGAACCTCTCTCCTCAAAGCAGGTTTAGGGTTTATTACTTATCTATGAAGTTGAAAAATTCAAGATATGCAAAATTGAATGAATGATATATATGATTGAATATCACTTTTTCAGGTTCCTCTGTTACTAGGCATTGGGGAAGAAGATACAGCCTTGACTAAGGCAACTGAAAGCGGTGATACTGATCTTGTTTATCTTGTTCTCTTTCATATATGGCAGAAGGTATTTATTGTTTTCTTATTTGATTAATTATAAATATAATACTAAAATTAAGTTCTCAAATTATTGACTTGTATAGAGACCAGCATTGGAGTTATTTGGAATGATACAAGCTAGACCTATTGCACGTGATCTATTCATACGTTATGCAAGGTAAAGGCTATATAAGTTTTTCTATTTAATTTCATATGAGAATATGAAGATTTTTTTTTTTCTTTTTGATGAATGTGTCTATTATTTCAGGTGCTATAAACATGAGTTTCTCAAGGATTTCTTTCTTTCTACTGGTCAACTTCATGTAAGTCTGTTTTCATAAACACTGAGATTTGATTTGGTAAAACAAAAGTAGAAGTTTGTTTGTATGTAAGTAAGTGTTGTTGAATGTTGTATGCAGGATGTTGCCTACTTGTTGTGGAAAGAATCATGGGAATTAGCAAAGAATCCAATGGCAAGTAGAGGATCTCCACTTCATACTCCACGTATAAAACTCATTGAAAAAGCTCAAAATCTTTTTGCTGAAACTAAGGAGCATGTTTTTGAGTCCAAGGCTGCTGAAGAACATGCAAGATTATTACGGTATGACATGTTTTAAAAGTCCAAAAAACTCTTAACTTACTAAATATTAATTGTGTCATTGTTTTTTTATATTTTATGCAGGATGCAGCATGAGCTAGAAGTAAGCACAAAACAACCAATATTTGTTGATTCAAGTATCAGTGACACGATTAGGACATGCATAGTATTGGGCAATCATCGGGCTGCGCTCAGAGTCAAAACAGAATTCAAGGTCAAAGATGAGTCACTCACTAACTGAATTTTATGAGTGTTTGATTTAATTTAAGCAATGGACTTATATTATGGTATAATTTCAAAATCTTGAATCAGGTTTCAGAGAAAAGATGGTATTGGCTCAAAGTTTTTGCCTTGGCAACAATCAGAGACTGGGATGCCTTAGAAAAGTTTTCAAAGGAAAAAAGGCCTCCAGTTGGTATATAATGATTTTGTC